CCCCCTCTCTCTCCCCCCCCACACACACATCTGAGATCAAGTGTGTCTGGTATTTTTTTTGAAGCCATCTGGTAACCCTAGATGCAAAAAAGCTCCAGGCTGTCGTGCTGGCCTCTGGGCTGCTGGACCCATGGGCACCAGGGACACACCCGGGGGCTGCTTTGCTCCAGGTGAGGCCTCCCACTCCTCCCCACACCAGCCCCCTGGTGCTGCTATCGGGGCTGTGAGTTGAGGCCACTTCCCTGCATCCTGCCTCTTCTTCCAGCTCCAGGTCCTCGATATCTTCGGCCACCTGCTGGGGAGGAGCAAACCAGACCCCGGCTGCAGCTCAGGGGACGAGGGGCTGAGAGAAGCAGCGGGGCCGGGTGTGTAGCACGGGACAGGGGACTGGGACATCTGGGTGACAGGCCCAGTCACTAGTGAATCGGTAGCTCAAAGACAAAGGACTTTGGCTCTGCTTCCTGAGGTGGCATTAGGCCTTCCAGCCCCTCTGGGCTAGGGGAGGCAGAGGGGGACTCCAGGACTCAGCTCTGCTGGACAAATAGGCAGCGTGATGGCTGATGAAATTCAGGGCTGACGAATGCAGGGAAAGGCCAAGGCCAATCAACTCAACTAAAGGCCCAGGTGTCAGAAGCAGGGTGGGGGATGTGGCTGAGACCCAGCAAAAGAGCAAAGCCCAGACACCTGGGTGACCTTGGCCATTGGCACGGTCTGAGCTATTGCTGGGTGCTAAACAAGAGGGAGAAAGGGGCCCGGCCGCACCTGGGAACACAAATGTTTAGGGGCTTGGAAGCAGCCCAGTGAATATCCAAAATCCAGCGGCTGGAAGCAGCAGGGAGAGCCCGGCTCTGTTCCCAAGAGATTACACGGAGATCCTTGAAGTAGTTTAGGTGCCAAACTCCCATTAAAACCCACAGGATTTAAGCACCCAAATCCCTCTGAGGATCAGGGCCTGACAAGCCTGGTGGATAATGGAGAAGGGAGGGAGACAGCGGGAGAGGGAGCTGCCCCAACACCTGCCTGGCTTCTCATGCCCACAGCTGGGGAGCCCTTTGCAAAGGAAGTCAGTGTTGTCTTATGGGGGAGAGAAACTGAGGCACAGAGCAGAGGAGGAACATGCTCACGGTCCCCCAGCAGGCCAGCGGCAGAGCCACCTGTAACCCGCACCCAGGCGCACACTGAGACTTCCTGACAGAGTCCGACACTAACCGGAGACCTGGGGGTGCTGGGGGTTGGTTTGGTCCATTGAGAGCCCGGGCTGAGTTTGGATTCCATGCACCTGCAGCACTGGGCTGCTCAGAGCCCAATTGAGGGATGGGGGGGCTGCTTTGGGCCCTGCCCCCAGGACCTAGGGCCTTCTAAACATGCAATGAGGTGGGGGGGGGGTCAGCAGCAGCAGAAGCACCCAACTCCCCTGGGAGCTCATGGGAGGGAGCCACCTCAGCATCTAGCCGGTCTAGGCCCTTTAGGGAGCCCCCTTGGGCCTGAAACAGCTCACAAAAGCTGCCCCTTAGCAAGGGAGTGAGGCAGGTTGCACAGAAGCCGGAGGGGGAATTGCTGGCCCAGGTGTGCACCCCTGAGTCACTGGGTGCCAGCCTTATAGGAAATGCTCAGCCCCCCTGGACCCTACAGCCTAGAACCAGCTCCCCCAGCTCCTGTGCAGGGAGCAAGCCCTGGGGGGGGGCTGAGCCTGGCTCCAGCCCTGCCAACTCTCCACTGATGGGGGCCAATCCATTTGCCCCGCCCAGCCGGTTGACGGGATCGGCATCAGCTGCAGCCCCATGGAGCATAAAACCAGCAGCAACCGGCAGGGCTGCAGCCTAGTCCAGGCAGAGAGGCTAGGAGAGGGGGGGAAGCTGCAAAGCTGACCAATGGCTGATGCTGGGGAAGGCAGGATGGGACTTGGGGGAGCTGCAGCCTGCCCCCCTGAGGAGCGTGAGGCTGTGATCCCCAAGGAGAGGAGGCTGCCAATGGGGGAGGTAAGAGGGGGCTGGGGGGGCCCTGCTCTGTGGCTTGGAAGGCCAGGCCCCTCTGTGCCAGGTGTATTGGTGCTGCTGGTGTCTGCGTGTGGCTGGCCTGTATGAGCAGGGACTTGGCTGCTCCTCTGAGCCTGGGAGTCCCTCCCCCCCTTCACCTCTGGTGGGAGCCTGCAGGGGGCAGCGCTGCCCCACGTGGGTCAGATGGGGTGGGGGGTTCCTGTGCTGATGAACTTTTTATAGCCTGGGCTGTGTTGCTCCTGGGTAGCAGAGCCAGGGCTGACTGGCATCCCTAGACTGCTGAGTGCCAGGTGTCCCGGCCCTACCCGTCTGGTGTCTTGTGTGAGCCTCCTGCCCCTACCACGGGACACGGCCCCTGGGTCAGGGGGGCACAGGGAGGTCTCTCACCAAGGCCTGTCGCTGCAGGCTGCTCAGCTCGGTGGCCAGACAGGGGATGGCAAGAGAGGG